GGAGGCTCCACTCGCTCTGGCGCCGCCGCCCTGCCCGGCGCTAGCTGCGGCCCGGCCCGGCCCGCGCCGAGTGCGCCTGCGCGGCTCTGTAGGGCTTCGAATACGCCTGCGTGACCCCCGCGGCCGGGCCGGAAATGCGCCTGCGCGCCACTGCCGGGTCTCGACTGCCTGTGTGACGCCTTCACCGGGTCTGTAAGGTGTTTGCGCGCCCTCCCGCGGGGCACAGCCGGAAATGTAGTCTTGTCCCGCCGCCCTGCCACGCAGGCGCCTTGCGTTTCCGACGCCCCGGAGGCCGCCGTCACCTCCGGCGGAAAGAGGCCCGCGGATGCCCGTGTGAGGGGTGGCCGGCGGGGCTGGTCTGCGCGGGGCCCGCCGAGTCTTTGGGGGCCTTTTTTTGTGACGTCTCAGGAGGGGGCGTGCTTTAGGGTAAGGAAATGGGGCGTGGTCTAGGGCAGGGGCGGGAGTCTGCAGTGCAGACTTGATTTCCCAAGGTGAGGCTGCTGCCTGGACTCTATCTTCTGGACTCTCCCGCCTGCAAGAGGTGTGGGCGGGCAGAGTAGGCAACTTGGGGCCTTAGAGGTTGAGATTACCCTCATGTCAGGCTGATCTCTGTCCCCATCTGAGTCCTCAGACCAGAATGCAGCGGGGAGGCATGGCTGGAGGCAACACTGCCAGGAGCAGGAACAGATGTTCAAAGGCCCTGAGGTTGTTGGATCTCAGGTGAAAGCCTGTGTCTGAGAGCTGATCTGCTGAGTCCCAGCCGGACACCAATAACTCTTTAAAAAAAAAACCTTATTTTTATTTTATGTCTGAGTGTTTCACCTACATTTAAGTACACCACGTGTGCAGTGCCCGCGGAGGTCAGTAGAGGGGGTCAGATCCCCTGGAACTGGAGTTACGGACGGCTGTTAGCTACCATGTGGGTACTGGGATCCCAACCCGGGTCCTCTGTAAGAGCAGCAGGTGGTCTTCACTGTAGAGCCAGCACCTCAACACCCACATTCCTTGCCGGGCTATTTTGTCATGAGTGTTGGTGGGAGGGGCACCATAGTCAAGCCCTCCAGGAGGGTGGGCCTGGTACTTGTGACCGCTAGTGGTGGGTGGCCCTGGCCCTGTGACTACACCAGTGGGAGTTTCCACAGGCCACAGCTGTATCAATACCTGGAGTTGGGTGAGGATGGCTTCCTCCTACACATGCTCCAACATCTGGCCATGTGAGGCTGGGTCTTGTGTCCTGGCTGGGTACAGGGAAACAAATGTCAAAGGTGGGGCTGGATGGTGGGAGCCATGGACAAATCCAGGGCCCAGCAGCCACTTCCTGTGCTGTGGAGAACTAGTCAGGCCTTGACTCTTCCTCCCCTTGGGGGTTCCCTGGGGGACCTGGGCCAGAAGAGAGTCATCCAAGAGTTCCCATCCTTGTCTGCCCCTCTTGTTTGAGTCAGGACTGTTGATACCCCTCAGTGTGCCTGGATATACCCTTCCCAGCGGACATCCTGGAAGCCCTGGGTGGGCAGATGACATAACCACTTTGTCTCTCTCCAGCTGGTCCACTGGGTCCCAACCACCAGGAGACTCTGCACCAGGGTCCAGGTCACCCTGCGTGCTGGGCATCCTAATTCACCTGACTCTCGGCACGTGAGGCCATGGAGAGAGCAGACTAGAAAACAGATATATGGAAAAGGAAACCATTTGTGGTAACCAATTCCTGTGAAGAAAATCTGTGTCAGAGGTCAGAGAACCAGGGCTCAGCAGGATTCCCATGGACAGAGGGCAGGGTGGCATCTCAGGTCACGTTTGAGAATGGACAGAGGATCAGAGCCTGGAGGAACAGCATGTGCAAAGGCCCTGGTGGGGGGGATGAGCTGGGCTACCCAGATATCAGTGTGCCTGGGGCACAGTGAGGGAGGGAACAGACAAAGGAGCTGGATCCCTGTAAGCCTGGTGACATGGCCACAGGTGTGGATGCTCCATCACTGACAGGGCACCGGTCTCCCTCTCATCTGCCTAGCAAGCAGGAGGTGGGAACCCCCCTCCCTGCCCTAGGAGGTAGGACCAGGCACAGATTTTGGAAATTGTGAGCAGATCAGGTTCATTGACTGTCCATGTCATACAATGTCCAGAAATGCTGGGAAATGGTGTGTGGGGGGGGTGCTAATGAGATTTGGGGTTTAAAAGGCCCAGAGCCAGCAGGGCATAGTGTCTTAACCAAGCTGCTGGGGAGACTGAGGTAGAAGCCATGAGTTCCAGTCAGCCTGGGCAACTTAGTGAGACCCTGTCTCAAAATAAGTGGCTGTGGTGGCGCACACCTGTAGTCCCAGCACTTGGGAGGCAGAGGCAGGCGGATCTCTGTGAGTTCAAGGCCAGCCTGGTCTACTCAGTAAAGAAAAAAAAATCTGGGGAGGGTGGTTCAGAGGTAGAGCCCTTGTCTAGAATACCCCAGGGAGGGGCGGGGGGGGGCTCAGGGGTAAAATGACAGCCTGGAGTCCCCAGTGAGGGGCTGGCAGTGTGGCTCAGGGGTTGAGGGTCTAAGATTCCTGCTGAGAACACAGGAGTGCAGCCAGGGAGATGCTAGGAGAGGACATGGCTTTTCTAGCTCCCCTCTTCCTGTGGGGTGTGCGTGAGGGTCTTGGGGTTCTGAGTGGCAGGTGGGAAGAGACAAGGTGCCGCACACTGGAGTTGCCAGTCAGTACTCCTCTGTAAAGATTTTATTTCTGTGAGTGGGGCCCTCAGGTGCGTACAGAGCAGGCTGGGGGCTGGTGGAGGTCCTGGGGGTCCCACTTCCTGGGTGGGGTCCCCTCCTGCATGCCAGGGCACCATATTCCTGGTCCCAGGTCTGTGCCATCCTGGAATGGTGGCTGGGTGAGCCTTGCAGTCAGCGTACCGGCTTGACCTTGGCAATGAAGAGTGCTGCGGCCTTTTCCAGAAACTCATCCCGGGCCATGGGTGAGCTGGGCCTCCGTCCTGACACTGCCCTGTCCAGGGCTCGTGCCAGGCTGTCAGGGCCCAGGCGGGAGCCAGCCTCCAGGTAGTGTGTGGGTGCAGAGGCCTGGTTCTCGGGGCCCAGGGCCCCCTCCAGAGTGTCCAACACAGCCTGGCCCACACGGCGGTCAGCTACAGCCAGGTCTGGGTCTTCCAGGAGCTGAAACAGGGCCCTAGCCCTCGCCACGAACTCCAGCAACACAAAGCAAGACAGCATGCCGGCTCTGAAGATGCCCAGTGGGACGGCCTCGTGGTCCCGGCACTGGATCTTGTGCAGAAGGGGTGCTACTACCTCCTCTGGGGCTCCCCCATCTCTGCAGACCCGTTTCAGCAGCTCACTGTAGGTGCGGCCATCCAGCCCCGGATTCTTCTTGCGTCCACTTGCACTCAGGCACTCGTAGGCCACACTCACATTGTTGTTGAAGGCTGTCCTGTGGAGGAGAGGCGTAAGTGAAGCCTCAGACTCTAGCCTGACACAAGACACTAGCCTGACACAAGACACTGGGCCCAGTGACCCCTGGGCCTTTGCACAGCCTGAGTCTTCCAGGATCTTCTCCTCCAGCCTCTACCTGAGCTCCAGTGTCACCTCTCCTGTTCCCTCCTGCTCTTCATGGACAGGACTCCCACCAAATCTTCATTTCTGTGTGTCCTCTATCAGGTTAGATTGGCCTGTCTCTGCTTCCCTATTGCTGGGATTAAAGGTGTGTATCACCATGTCCCACTTTATTATTATTTTTTGAGGCAGGATCTCATATAGCCCACACTGGCCTCGAATTTGCTATGTGGCTGAGGCTGACTTTGAACTCCTGATCCTCCTGCCTCCACCTCACTAGTGCTGGGGCTCAGGATATGCTAGGTGAGTGCTTTACCCACTAAGCTGCAGAAATTGTTCTAGCATACAGTTGGTGCTCAATAAGTCCCTGTTTAATAAACTGGCAGACATCTCTTGGTGGCATCTATGAGGGGACTGTCCACTGTCCCCAGCCCAAGGCCAGTTGTCACTGCCGTCCCATAGTAAGCCTTGGGGTGCCGTCTGCTGCCATCCCCTGGCAAGCCAACTGCCAATTTTGAAGTAGGGTCTCGCTCCACAACTGAGGCTGGCCTCACCCACCATGCCTGGGACATACAGTGGCCAGTCCTGGCATGGACCTTTGGCCTGGTCACATTCTGAACCTTCTAGAGACTCACATGCAGTAGGTGCTCATTAGATGTTGGCTGACTGCAGCAGATACCCAGGGAATAGCCCATGTGTTCTTTTGTCAGGATTGCTCAGCAGAGCTGCAGCTGTGTTGAGTCTTGGAGACTCTAGGGATGTTTGTTACTGAGGGATAACAGTGCTTCCGAATGCCTGACACACCTGTGGCCTGAGATTAGCTCAGCTCTGTGCCCAATTCCCATCTGCTGACCTGTACCCACCCACTTTCTTCTGTCTTCTCTGGTGGTCTGTAGGGGGCTCAAAGCCTGGGTGCTTGTTGGCTCCTGAACAGGATCCAGACCTGCCTCAGGTGCCTGATCTGGTGCTGGCATGTGGAATGGCCCCACCTGCCTTGACCTCAGCTGTTCACAGCAGGAGGGGTAATTTCAGCTGGGTACAAGGATGTCCACCTCCCAGGCAGGGGATCTTACTGGCTCCTGAGGGGATCCCCCTGAGTTGCTGACAAGAGTGGGGTGCAAAGCCTGTGAGGGGGCTCCTTCCTCCTTTAACCAGTGGCTCTCTATTATGGGGGACCCGGGTCAGTCTCTGGAGGCATGGGGTGGGTGGAGGCTGGGAACAGCCCACAGAGAGTGGGGTGAAAGAGGAGCCCTGGCTTAGCTGGCCAGTTCTTCATAGTGATCCGTTTGGGGACTGTCACAGAGTGTGGCAGTCAGCAGGTACCATGTACTGTGGGTAAGATTCCTGGTTTGGCCCCTGGCAGTCAGGGTTCAGGCAGAACCTTGGAATGTGGTAAACACACAGGCTTTGCAGGTGTAACTGGTTATAGAGACTGGGGAATGTGGCCACAAGCTAAGAGATATGAGAAGTGTACAGACAGGATGGATGGTCTGCAGATCCTGAGGTGAGGCTGTGACTTCAGGCTTCCAGCCTCAACTCAAAGACTGTCCTCACCAAGCAATAAGGGGTCACCAGCCTCCATCCTCCTTGCGTGTGCCTGTATCCCCCACCCCAATACCACACCAGGCCATGCCCCTCCCTTTCTTGTGTGGCCATCCACTTAGGGCAACAGGCCCCTCCCCTCTGGAGCACCTCTGCTCACATGGGCCCCCACTCTCCCCGACCTGTTCTTTAGGTTCTCTGGGACTGCGGGGATGGGGGTTGGGGGTGGTGGAGGTGGAACACACCACCAGGTGTGGATGACCCCCTTGGGGAAACGAAGCCACTGCCGACCTCCATCTCCTGACTTGCCCCTCTGGCCCCTCCCGGTTGGGCCCTTTGTAAAGCCACCTCGATGCCGGGACCCAGACACCAGCCCACGGGCCTCCAGTCACCGCCGGTGGATGGCACCTATCCATCGGCTTACCCCATCCAATGTGCGCTGGACAGGCGTCCCTCAGACATCTCCTCTGCTGAGAACTGTCCCCACTGCAGTACAGAAGGAACTGCACCTGCCTGGCTCCAGGCCTCCCTGCGGCGTCCAGGCTTGGCCGTAGATTAAGGAGTGCCATACCCAATGCATCCTGGGAACTTCTATGATACCCTCTCTCTGCGGGGCGAGGCCTCAGCACATACGCTGCCCATCTCCTGGCCCAGCACTACAAGCCATTCATTCTCTGACTGATGGGACGGCATCTTGGGCCAACTCCTCTCTGGGCTTTTTGGCCTCCAAAACCCTGAGCTGAGAGGGGAAACTGAACTTGTGCTCAAAAGTAACCCGCACAGACCCAAACTATCTGGACGCCCAGGAGATAGATGGGTGGACTACAATAGGGAATTGGGCCCTACAACAGGACCATAACTCCCAGCACACTCTGCGCTCACAATGGACACGTCCACGCGGAGCACGCCGGGAGCTGTAGTTCGGTTGCCGCACCACCCCAACCTCCCCAGGCCCTGGAAAAGAGGGTGGACTACAACTCCGTGAACCCCCGCGTCGGCAGTGGAGTGGGGCCCATCGGGAGCTATAGTCCGGGCGTCCCTCCGGCCATCGGCCCTCACCTCTGTGAGTGGTGAGCCAGGCGAAGGTGCCACAGCGCACGGCCCAGGCGCTGCTGCTGCAGGAGGAGCTGCCCCGGGGGCTCCCCGGCGCCGCCGCTGGCCGGCGAACGTAGGCCCATATTCTCGAAATAGTGCGCCAAGAAGGCGATGGGCTCTTCGGGCCTCGTCTCCAGCACCTTCAACAACGCGGCACGCAGCATCTCCGTCACGCCGACCTGCCGTAGGAAGTCCTCCTCGCTCTCAGCCGCTGCCGCTACCTGAGACACCAACGTTCGGCCGTTGTCTGTGAAATTGGCCGCTGGTGCTACAGCCGGCCGCCGCTTCTCCACTGCCGCCATCTTGACTGAGGGCAGCGGGACCGGAAGTGCCGCCATCACTCAAGGCGCGACGGCCATTTTTGTTAAGGGCAGAGGGAGCCCAGCTCAGTCTGGGAGACCCATGGCCATATCAGGAATCGGCCACCCGTTTCCTGTGTCCTAACTAGCATTCTTCCTCTGCGTTTCCCCTTTGTACGTCGTGACTAGCTCTAGCTTCGATCTAGAGTCTTGAATTTTGTCAGATTCCAAAATGGTTCCCCAGGAAAGGCGTGGTTTCTGGCTTGAAGCGTGATTGCTCGCCATCTTGGTAGTGGGCAAGAAATCATTAACATGGTCACCTAGCAACCAGGCCCCTGGGTACCAGAGAAGCTGGACTAAGTGTGCCCAGGATGCTTCTGCTGGGACTCTAGTAACACTGAAGTGCTGGGTTCAGAGCGTTTGCTGAGGCTGGTCGCAGACATTGGACTCGGGTTGGTCTCTGTCTGGCCTGGCTTCGTCTGCTTCTGAGCAGGGCTCCAGGGAGCCCTCTATAATGCTGCTTCCTGCCCCAGGCTGCTTAGCGTCCTGAGCACGGCCCCGCCCCGCTTCTCCCTGTAGTTCTAGCTGGCCTAGAGATCACTATGTAGTCCAGGCTGGCCTCAGAGATCCACCTGACTCTACCTCGAGGGCTGGATGACTGGCGTGCACCACCATGCCAGCCTATTGTAACTCTGAACTGTGACTCCTTAATACCCTCATTCACAAGTCCCTCTTTTGCCTATGCTTCGGTTCTTCATTCACTGACTTCATTTTCACCCCCTCCACCACCTCCATAATCCCCATCTTCCTGTCTGCCCACTTCCGAATTTCTTTGCTGTACCGCCTTAATTTTGTTAAGATCAGGTACTTCCCAACCCTATTGTCTCTTTTATGACTGGCCTTACCATGATGGACTGGGGTGTATGCCTGTTCGGGGCCTCTGGGATGAGAAATGCTCAAAGTCTCCCCATTTTGCTAGTACAACCAGAAGACAGACAGACAGACAGAAAGCCTTTATTCTGCTCTGGACCTGAAGGCTCTGGAAGCCCAGAAGCTGGGAGGGCTTGTGCTGGTCACCAAGGAAGGGGCTGCAGTTTGTACTCTTGACCCCAGCACTGCAGTGGAGCAAGAGGCCCCCCACCTGGTTCCCTCAGTCTGATGCAGTCTGGAGCATCAGAGGCGCGAACCAGAACTGCTTAGTGGGTGCCCTGGGTGGCCAGCAGCTGGCCGGCAGTATTTCCACAGTCGGTAAGCAAGAAAGGCGAGCAGGAGCAGCCCCAGTGCCAAGCTGCCAGTCCACAGGGAGGTGGCGGAGCCTGAAAGAGTGGGAGAAGGGTAGTCAGGAACCTTGGAAGGCCGTCAGGAGCCCCTGGACCATACTGAGCTTCATGCTAAACCCATCTCTTAAGCCTCACAGTGGAACACAGAGCTAGCCTTTGGAATTTTACATAAGAACTTGCAGTTTAGAAGTGGGCTACCCAATCAGATTTTCTAGTAGCAAAGAACAAGACAGTGAGGAAAACTCAGAATATATTACAGAGTAGGAAATAACAGATTTTTTTTTGTCTTTTTGAGACAGGGTCTCCCTGTAGTCCCAGCTGACCTTAACTCCCTATGTAGACCAGGCTGGCCTTGAACTCACAAAGATCCGCCTGCCTCTGCCTCCCAAGTGCTGGGATTAAAGGCGTGCGCCACCACGCCTGGCCAGATATTTTATTTTTGAGGGTCTTGATATGTAACAGAGGTCTCTCTCTTTCTCTCTCTCTCTCTCTCTCTCTCTCTCTCATCTTTTTGAGACAGGGTCTCCCTGTAGCTCCAGCTGGCCTGGAACTCACTATGTAGACCAGGCTGGCTTTGAACTTAACAGAGATCTACCTGTCTCTGCCTCCCACCACGCTCTGCTGGTCTCTTTTTTTAAAGGTTTATTTTTACTTTATGTGTATGAGTGTTTTGCCTGCATGTAAGTGCACCACATGTGTGCAATGCTTGTAGAGGCTGGAAGAGTGTGTTGGATCCGCTTGGAACTGGAATTATGGACGGACAGTTGTTAGCCACCATGTGGGTGCTGGGAACTGAACCTGTGTTCTCTGCAAGAGCAGCCAGTGCTCTTAACTACTGAGCCATTTCTCCAGCTCTTTCTAGCATAGTTTAAAGTTTCAGTCATTAAAGTGGGTGTGGTAGTGTATACCTGTTATCCCAGCACTTGGGAGATGGAGGTAGGAGGATCAGGAGTTCAGGGTCATCCTCAATTACACAGTGAGTTTGAGGCCAGCCTGGACTACATGAGACTTTGTGTCAAAACAAAAGTTTTAAGTCATCCTATATGATTGTACTCTTTCACTTTGTTTAACAGGCTCTTCCAGTCTCTAGAGCATAGAATCTACAAGACACTTTGATTTTAAACAGTCCCTGGAATCTACACTATGCCCAAAGCCAGGAAAGATACTGGACTAATGGGGAAACTGAGGCTGGGCATAATGTTTTAATCCCAATTATGTGTCCCTTCCAGACCCTCCCAGGGCCCCAGCACTCACCGGATTTTGAGAACAACTGGCCTGGGACATACAGACTGGTCACCTGCCCCCCAGGGTCCAGGCGGCACTGGAACCAGCCCTCGGGGATGGGCCCTGGGGGCGGCACACTCAGCCATGCCTGGGCCCCAGCCTCTGTCTTGTGGTAGGCTGCCAGGCCCCCAGGAGCCAGGGTCCAGCGCACAGCCATGCCTGGGCCACAGAACGCTTCACAGAGCAGTTGCCAGCCAGCCTCCTGCTCCTGGCGGATCTCGGGGTGACAAGTTCCAGCAGAACCCAGAGTCCTAGGGTTGAACGTGAGACCCTGCTGGGGGGTGGACGGCAGGGTGGTGGTGTCAGGGGGCCCCATGGAGATGGCCTCAGTGGGTTCTGATGAAGTCAAGATGTGGGACTTTGCAGAGGTGGTGTCGAGGGGCTCCACTGAGGTCTGAATCTGCAGAACTGGAAATAGAAGTTGCCTCTGTTGCCTGTCTCCTGCCTCAGTTTCCTCATCTGTGACCCAGCATTGGGCCAGAACTCCTCAAAACCCCTCCCCACATCACTCAAGTGACACAGGACATCTTAACAGCTGGTGACAGACAGAGTACCCACTGGGTACCAAATCCTAATAAATCTACTCTGCGAGTGTTTACGAAGCATACTGGGTGCTGGGCCCTATGAATCTACTTGGCCAGCATCTGTGAACCACCTACTGGGTGCCAGGCCCTACACAGTCTACCTGGCAGTGCTTACAAAGTACCTACTGGGTGCAGGCCCCACCCTAGCCTTCAGGATACACACCTTTGAAGCAAAGCTGACAGGAAATGATGGAAATGTTGCTCTGGGGCCAGCACAGAGTAGGCCCTCATCTTTTAAATTAATCTTTCTCTAGCCACCACAGGATCATGAGTTTGGGTAGAGGATGGTGGCAGGAGCCATGATCAGAATCACCCAGGACACATGGTTGGTGACAGGCATTCCTGGTCTGGGCTCCAGAGTAGGTCTGGAGGTAGCAGGAACCCAGTGGGCTCACCTGGAAGGACCCTTTGGTTGGTCAGCTTCAGGCCAGGCAGCTGCATGGTGGCCTGGCAGAGAAGGGCAGGAGGCATGGGGGTCACCATGGCAGGTACTAGCCAGCGCTGTGTAACTCGGAACAGGGGGTCCTCAGTGTCCTCAGTTTCCTCCTCTTGTTCCAGTTCCAGGACTTGGACACCCTCCAGGTTCTGGTCCCCCAGTAGCAGGGCAAAGGAGAGGGTGTCCGGACCCACAGGCCACACATTGTGGGCTGTGCAGGATACTTCTTGGTCCTGTCCAGGAACCAGGAACACAGGGGACACCTCCAGTTCATCCTGGAAGGCTGTGGATGGAGGGTGGGGCACAGAGCTGAGCTCTGAGGTCAGGGCTAGGCCTGGCAGATAAGCTGAGTTTAGGGTGAGGGGGTACAGCCATGGGCCCTGGGTGGCCAGGACAGGAAGGAAGGTAGACACGGGAGCAGTGCAGGTCTGGAGTGGAGAAGGGACAGTGGAATCTGGGGACCCGCTGGGATGGCAGTATTCAGTAGGTGCACAGTCCTGAGACACCCCCCCCCAGGTGGTGACACCTGAAAGAGCAGAAGTGGGCCTTACCATACACAAGGATCTTCACAGAGTGCTGGTAGTTTTGACCCCTGCAGGAGCCCACACACAGGTGTGTGCCTGTGTCTGATAGTTTTGCACTGTGCACGGTGAGGATGCTGTTGCCAGCAATGGACTGCACGGATCCCAGAGTGGTATCCAGGCCACGCCACTGTACCTGGGCCACACCCTCCCCACAGGACAGGCTGCAGGTCAGCTGGCAGGATGTGCCCAGGGCCACAGCCACCACGGGCTCAGGGGGATCCACATGGAGGGGCTGGCCTGAGGGGACACGGTTGTTAGTACTGGTCTTTGACTGGGCCACAGAGTCCACCCCTGACCCAGTGTGGAGACTCCAGGGCTCTATACCTCCACCTCAGACTCTTTTGTTGCCTTGGTCAGTGGGCAGCTAGAACTGCCCTCCCCCAGTCCAGACCTGACTTTAGCAGAGCCTGCAGCACTGGCCAAGACCCCCTTCCCGTAACCCCTCTCTGAGCCCCCTCCCTTCCCCACAACCCTGCTCACCGCTACTGGGCTGGATGGGCCCCAAGGTCAGGGCCAGCAGGAGGACTAGGCTGGGCTCCATGCTGGTTCTCTCTGTCCTGCTAACCGCTAGGGGAAGCGGTTTAAATAGCAGTGCCCTGATGGCTTCCCGCTGTCGGCAACCCTGCCTCTCCCCCCACCCCTGCCCTCCCTGGGGAACTTCCCAGGGGGCTTTCCCAGCGAGACCCCCCCAATTTGGAGGAGACAGAGAGGCAGGAGCTAGAGGTGAGGCAGGGACCCAGGCAATGCAGTCAGAATAGATGGGCCAGGATGTCTGGGAAGGTTCCAGGTCCCAGTTCTGTGGACAGGAAGGCAGAGGCTGGAGACTGGAGGGATGGGGGTCGGGGGTGGGCCAGCGTAGAAGTTCAAGTGTGTGTAAATCAGATGGACCCTGGTCCCTTGCCACACTGCTCCACCTCAGGGCAGGGCTGTGCCTTCACTTCTGAGGGTGACCACATGGGGGTGGCAGAGAGGCCTGGGCTGGCTGGCTCTAGATGGTAGGGTCTCCTGGGGCCATATGCTCCAAGGTTGGGGAAGATGTTTCCTGGGACTGAGCCCTGCTCATCATGGAGGTGTCAGTCCCTGGGACAAATCACCAGTGGTTCCTGAGTCTGTGTCCCTCTGCCACAAAGACCTTCTATGTCTGGTAGAGCCTGGGGTTGGAGGTGGGGGCTGGCTTCCTTTTCCTGTTCCTAGGGTGGACCCTGGCCCTCTCTGCTGAGTTCTGAGACACATGTATCCCTCAATTCTCCCCCACACCCCTCCAAGCACTGTACACTGTCCCAGCTTCCTCCTGAAGGTGCACTTGGTGGCACATACCTTTGATCCTAGCACTCAGGAAGCAGAGGTAAGCAGATCTCTGTGATATTGAGGCCAGCCTGGTCTATATAGCTAGTTCCAGGTCAGCTGGGGCTACAGGGTGACCCTGTCTCAAAACAACAATGACAGAAAACACAAAAACCAAATTCCTTCCTGGCCCTGACCCAAAGCAAAAATCATACCCCTCTGCTCACCAACACCCCTAGGCTGTGTGCCTCTGGGACAGCCACAGAGCCTTTGCACAGCTGTTTCTGCCCCCTCTTCTATCTCCAGAGTCTTCTCACCTCTCTGACTTTATGTCCAGGTTGAACCTGCAGATACCTGATGTCCATCTCTATTCTGCATAGGGAGGGACTGTGCTTGCTCCCACTGCGACTCCTGATCCCTACACAGCAAAGAACAGTGTGGAGAGGCTCTGGCCTATGCTGGCCTCCAGTGTGGTCTGGCTGTGCAGTATATGGGTTTCTACACATTGCTTATTTGGATCTTCTTAAAAGGAGAAACTGAGGAGCAGTGGCACATGAACCAGGGGGAAGAGGAAGGCTGGGAGCAGAATGGGGGAACTGAGGCCCAGGGAGAGTGGTGGGTGTCAGGCCCAGGTGTATGGAATCAGGACTGGGGCTCCCTAGGACCCATCCCCCCTCACGCCCAGCACAGTGCCAGTGCCCGGAAGTTGCGCAGGAAGGCTGACTCTAAGGCACAGTCCCTTCCCGGGAAGCTGGGCCCTTAACCTGGGCGGGGGGCAGCAGGACCAGTGAATGGGCTGCTTCCCAGCCTCTGACCTCGCTTCCTGCTGCACCAGGGCCAGGTGGGGAGGGGTCAGCGAGCGCCAGGCTGGCTGAGGTCCTGTTCACTAACAGACCTCAAGAGACATCGGTACTCAGCCAGACTCCACCTGCCGGAACGACAGGGTTCCTGCAACAGTGGGGAAGGGGCAGGGTGCCTTGGGACACATGGGGCTCTACACAGAAGGAACAGGAAGTGGGGGGGAGACTGGGAGAGTGAGGAGGGGATAGACACATAGAGACAGAGAAATGGAGAGAGAGAGACATAGTGACAGAGGCAGAGACATAGAAAGAGGTGGAGAGTGACAGAGATAGAGATAGAGAGACATGCAGAGATAGTGACAGAGAGACAGAGACAGACACAGAGGTAACAGAGACAGAAAGACACAGAGATACAGAGACAGAGTGACAGACACAGAGACAGAGAGAGATGGAGACAGAGAGATAGAGACAAAATGAGATAGGGACAGGGAGACAAAGAAACAGACACAGAGCTGCAAAGACAAAGAGACCATTGGCAGAGACAGAGACACAGGAGATAGACATGGAGAAGGGGGGCAAAGAGACAGAGACGCAGGCAGAGCCAAAGAGAGGGGACAGGGCTTGCTTGCTAGCTGCCCCTTGGGGGGACACAGGCAGCTCTGCGGGGACACAGGTGCCCTCTGAAGGCTTGTCCCCAGCAAGGCTGGCCCCGCAGGACTGTGCCGTCCCTGCTGCACCTGGGGAGCTCCGCCAGTTCTTCCTACAGCTTAGGGCCCCGACCCCCCTTCCTGGCATTGTCTTGCTGGGAGGAAGTCCCCCTGGCTCCTCAGGAAGTCCCCCTTTCTACAGAGGTCTAGCCTTCCCAGGAGACCCAATATCCTGGCCTCCCTCTCCACAGTGCAATGAGGAAGATTCCAGAAGACACTTTTGGCCAACAGTGGCCCTTCCTCTTGCCCACACCCACTGGTCAGTTTGGCAACCTCTCCTTTAGGGTGGGGAACTCTCAGAGGGTGGGGCAGCATACGGCCAACCTGGGTCCCTGGCCTGGGTGTCATTTCAGCCTTGTGGAACTTAAGGAGGTTGGGGACCCAATAGGGGTTGGATCTTGAGAAATGTTTTTTTCTTTTATAAATTATTATTCATTCATTCATTCATTCATTCATTCACTTGCTTATTTATTATTTTAATTAAAAAAAAATTTTTGGTCTTTTTGAGACAGGGTCTCTCTGTAGCCCCAATTGGCCTGGAACTCACTATGTAGACCATGCTGGCCTTGAACTCACAGAGATCCTCCTGCCTCTGCCTCCCAAGTGCTGGGATCAAAGGCATGCACCACCATGCCTGGCTAAATATTTTATTATTTGTATTTTATGTGTATGTGTGCATTGCCTGCATGTAGCTAAGTGCACCCGTGTCGTGCAATGCCCGCAGAAGACAGAAGAGGCTGTCAGATCTCCTGGAACTAAAGTTACAGATAGTTGTTAACTCCATGTGGGTGCTGGGATTTGAACCCCGGTCTTCTGCAAGAACAGTGTTCTTAACTGCTGAGCCATTTCTCCAGACCCTCATTTGCTTATTTATTTGAGATAGAGTCTCCCTGTAGCCCCAACTGGCCTGAAACTTGCTATGTAGTCCAGGCTGGCCTTAATCTCACAGATTCACCTGCCTGTGCCTCCCCAGTGCTGGGACTACAGGCTTGTGACATACCTAACTTATTTATTTGTGATTTATTTATTTATTTATTTATTTATTTATTTATTTATTTATACTGTTTTTGGTCTTTTTGAAACAGGATCTCCCCCTAGCCTCACCTGGCCTGGAACTCACCATGCAGACTAGGCTGGCTGGCCTTGATCTCTGCTAGAATCAATGGTGTGTACTACCACCCCTGGCTATTTATACTTTTATGTGCAGTGTTTTTCCTGCATGTATCTAAATACACCTTTGCCCAGAAGTGCCCACAGAGACCAGAAGAGGGCATGAAATCCCCTAGAACTGGAGTTACAGCTGTTAGCCGCCATGTAGGTACTGGAAATTGAACCCAGGTCCTGGAAGAACAGCCAGGGCCCTTAACTATTGAGCCATTGAGACTTTTCTTTCTTTCTTTTTTTTTTTTTTTTTTTTTTTGTTTTTGTGAGACAGCCTCCCCCTATCCCCCCATCTACCCTGAAACTCACTATGTACACCGGTCTGCCTTAAACCCCACAGAGCCCCCCCCGCCTCTGCCTCCCAAGTGCTGGGATTAAAGGCGTGCGCCACCACACCCAACTGAGACTTTTTTTTCTTAAACACTAGACACCCTCTCATACACACAGACCACCCAGGGCAGGAACAGCTAGGTGGGACCTGGGGGTAGGGGGACACACGACTCCATTTCACATGGCTGGCCCTTGTCCCTGAAATGGCCTAGGTAGGCCGTGATGGGCCTTGTGGGAGGCCCCAGGGTGGACGGGCCAGCATCCAACATGAATAAACCACAGAAAACTAGGTCTGCTTTGCCTGTCCTTGTTGTTTACAAAACAACATGGTGTGTGTGTGTGTGTGTGTGTGTGTGTGTGTGTGTGTGTGTCTGTCTGTCTGTCTTAGGGCCTGTGAGGCAGGGTCTTTATGCTGCCTGCCACCTCCCATCTGGGGAAGGGGGCAGTGGGGTGGAGGTCCATCTGGCCGGGTCTGAATGGCCTGAACTTGAGACAGAGGCTCTGATAGCTGAACTCTGTCTTTCAGCAGAATGGGCTGAGGGCTTAGTGGACACCTGCTAGAGTGGGTCTGGGTGGCCAACAGTCTCCCAGGTGCTGACCATACCAATAGCGACACCTGCTGGCTTGGGATGGGGTAGGCAAGCTGCAGGTAAGTGCAGACTACCTCTCCCTCCTTCCCTCCCTGCTGGTTCACCTCCTCATGAGGGGATCCACCCCAGGGAGCTGGTGAGGGGTCACATTAGGCACATGGCACTGGTTTGGGAAGTTCCAAGGCAGTTGGATGTCCAGGATGAAGGACACCCCGTGAGTGTTGCTGGAGACAGTTGCCTTTGAGGGCTGAGCTGGACAGAGAGGCTGGAAGCCTTGGGGGACCTCTGGGGCAGAAGACAGCCCCTCACACTGCTCAGGGGAGCACAGAGGTATGTCACAGTGATAAACTGTGAGTGGGTTCTGACTGTACCCAGGGTGGCATCAGCTGGGGCAGGCAGGCTTCAGGGTGCACAGGGAGTCACAGAGGTTAGGGAAACCTAAGCAGGACCTGGTAGGGTCTGTCTTCTAGAAATGACTTCCTCTCCTCTGGGTGGAGAAGCCTGGACCCCTGACTTGAGGTCTGCCATTGACCGGATCATGCCCAGCAGGCCTTTCACTTGAGGGCGCCTCCAGCATAGGGTCTGGCTGGACCTGTGCTTTGCCCACCTCTCAGAATTCATGTAGCCAAGGGTTGGGCACAGGAATGAGAAAGGTCACCAGGATCTGGGCTCAGAGCAGACACCAGCAGATGCCTAATCTTAACCCTAACACCCTCTAATCCCAGCCCCAACCCCAAC